CTGGGAGGTGCTGGACGGCAGCGGCTACACGCAGCCTCTGCAATTCAGGCCTGGATTTATCTGTACTGTCCTCTCACCACCACCCCAGGGATAACCAATGAATGACAGAGCTTTTAGTCCTGGCTCCAGAAGTACAGTCGCTCCTGTAAGGTTGTGCCTACACAAAAATGCTCCAGTGGGGACAAGCAGCCTGTCCAGGGCCAGTCGCACTGTCCAGGGGAGGTGGGATAGGGAGAATCACAGGCCAAATTGTCCACACACAGGCAGGGACTCGGTAGGATTTCAACAGTAGTTGTTCAAATGTATGTCAGAGAACCATCACAGGTTCTGGTCACCCTTGTGCAGTTCAGCTCCTAGATGGTGATTATCCAAAGCAGCCCAGGTCTGAGCTTATTTCCATACCAACCAGTGCTGTCTGGCATGAGTACCATGGTGGGAAGAAGACGGGCTTATTTCCTCTCCTTCCAAATCAATGCACATGCCACAGATAAATGCACAGCAACAGCATTCCCAAAGGCTGGAGTACTGGAAACTGGCCTTCAAAAATAGCTCCATCCCAAGCATCCCGAGCTGCAAGCTGAGCTCAACCCCCCACCTAGACTAAAGCTTTGCACTTTTGTCTTGAAGTCCCATCTTCCCATGGCAGGGAGCCCTCTCAGCAGCCCAAAACCAGAGCACTGCACGGGGCCAGGGGTGGATTCCCTGGGCTGCCCCTGCAAGCTGGAGAGGAGATGCAAATGGAGCAGGAGACTGCTGGAGAAGCAGAGGCAGACAGATGCTTCTACACTTCAAAGGAAACAGGGCCCTGTGAGGCTTTCAGGAATACGCACAAATCGATAGACTCCTTTTAAACACCAAGCACATTTGCTCAAGTGTGAGGCAATTAGTCCCTGAGGATGGAGGCAGGACAGGGCCATTAACAGACATACGGGCAGGATGAAGCAAGGGATCAGAAACATGCGGCACGGCTCCACGCGAGGCTGCCAGCCCAGCCTGATGAGTTGGAAACCTTGCTGTCCTGGCCTAGCGCTCTCATCCACGATTCTCAAAATGCCCTTGTGTCCCCAGGGGCTCTACAGGGAGCACATCAGAATCATTTAGCCTGTGTCAGTGCAACGCTTAGCATATCCCTTTGGTGAACAGGGAGGTTTTGATCACATCCCTTCCACTGCTCAATTGTTTATTGCTTTTATCCCTGGAGAACAATGACCAGGGATGCCCTGAAGGACATGGGAAGGCTGACTTACACTTACTGGATCTGCAGCCATTCTCATCTCCCCCTCACCTGAATGCTGCTGGGTGGTGCCCGGGCAGCTCTGGACAAGCTCTGTCTCCAGAGCCCCTTCTAGATGGTAAAACAGAGCCAAAATCAGATTGTGGGCGAGCAGAGGGCTGGCTGCTCAGCGTGAACAGAGCCAGCATGGGGACGGACCCCACGGTGTGACAGAAATCAGGGCTGACTCATCCCCTTCTACTCCGCACCAGCATTTCCACACAGATCTACCCTTAACCCACCAACTCCCAAGGTGCCGGTGCTTTGTGACCCCACAAATGGGAGCTGGAGGAGCGACAGTGCCAGCACACAGGAGGTCTCTCCTGTGAAGAGCTGCTGTGTTTTACATGTAGTCTTATTTTTCAGTAAGAGGCAGAGATACCAAAACTGCGCAATGTTTTATGCCTGACGGCGTGACTGACGGTGTGCCTGTCCTGTATCGCTAGCTACCCACTCCCGCTCTCCTTTATGGAGGCACAAAATTTTCCCTCAGTAAAAATAGGAGAGGAAGAAATAAAAATCTCAGCATGTCCCCAAAGAACTGTAGGAGACGGAAATTAAATCCATCCATTACACTCACCAAGCAGGGCACTGTCTGAGCAGGAACACTGGAGTCATACACCTGCATATTCAAAGAAAAAATGGAGTATTACAGAGGTGGCAGAGGCAATCCAGCACCCTACAGCAAAGTACTTGTGCCATAAAACAAACTCACATGACTTGGAAAAACAAAAAAGGAAAAACACTAAATGAAGCTGAGCAGCAACACTGTTCATCACGACTGTGGCACCTCTCCTCACGCCTGCACTGAAGGATTGCTTCACCCTTGGTTAAAATTTTGTCTGACGCTGCTGCTGAGGCTCAGGTCTTGAAAACACTTCAGCATTTGCTCTGGGCAGCACACACCGCGTGCTGCGGGGAGCACGGGCTGCAGGGGAGAAATGCTTTCCCGACTTGCTTCACTTTGTCCTGTGAGCTCGCAAGCAGCTGCATTACCCCTCCCTGGGTTTTTCCTGCTCAGATTTGCTGTAATGTCTTGAAGCCGCATTTAAACCTTACTACATCCCTGCAAAGCACAACGGTGAAACCAGCTTACCTGGAGTTGCTGGGAGCCAGGCCAGGAGCGTACCTGCTTCTCGCAGCTGGGGGAACTGAGGGTCAAACCCTAGAGAAACAGGCAGAAACAGGCACCCCCTACAGCCACAGAACAACAGCAGCAAAGTTGTGCCTCTGAGCACAGCTGGAGCCCAGCCAGCCACTTTCTCAGCTGGCCCTGGGCAGTTTTACCCCTTTTCTCTTTGCTCTTGGCCATTTACAAAGTAAATTCAGGCTGAGGGCGGGGAAGCAGGTAAGTGAAGACACCTGCAGGCTGCACATTTGGCCACTGATGAGTGGGGAGAGGGGGGCTGGCAGCTGCCTGCAGCTCCCAGGCAGGAGGTATTTGGTATTTGGCTTTGTGCCGGTCCAGCCCCGCACGGCGGGTGATGGCTGCTGTCTGTTGTTGTCAGCCAAATGCTGCATCCCCCCTGCTAAGAGGCTCCGTATGGGATCCCAACCTGGGGCTCACGAATTAAGTGGCTTTTAAGCTCTGCAATAAAAAAACCCCATTTGACTTGAAGAATGTTATTATTCCTGGAAGGGGGGTTGCGCTGCTTGTTTGGAGTTGCTTAAGGTGACGCAGTGCATACACCGACCAAGGAAATGCACCGCAGGAGTCTCCTGGGAGGCTCACCAAGGACCAAACGACAGCCACCCCCATGCTGGGCAGTCAGGTCAATGCAGAAGGAAGCAATGAGCCCGGCTCAGCCTGGCTGTCCAGATACAAGGCAATTCAAGTGCCCCAGCCCGCCTGGGCACAGAAATGCTGCTCCCTATGATGTCCCTGCACCTCTTCATGGGGAAGGAGCCTCCCTGGGCCCACCCCCCCGAGCCCCGGCAGGGACAGGCAGACCCTACCCCACACCATGCTCGTGAGGACTCACTGCAGATGCCAGGCACCACAGAAGGTGCCGGAGAGCAGCGCTCCCTCAGGCTCAGCCAGGCCAAGTTTGGTTTTCACCCGCTGAGCAAATCTCTCTCCCTCCAGCTCCTGGAAATCAGATAAGCTCCTACTGAAACCAGCTGGTAGCTGCTTCTGCAGAGCCGGAGGGTGACTGAGTACAAGCGCAGAGCCCACACCTGGGGCCAGGCAAGAGAGGACCCTGCACCCTGAGGAGGACTTGCTGCATCTTTTGTGAGGAGTGGGGAGAGGTGGGCGCTTTGCCGAGCGGCAGGAAGCCCCATCAGAGGTGCCTCTCCCCAGCCTGCAGCTGCTCACCGGGATGTGGCTGGCTGTGGAAGAACTGCAGTGTTGGCAAGAAAGCATTTTTCTGCCATTCCCATCTGCACTGAAGCAGTCTGAGACAAGGCTTAAGGCTGCAAAAACCAGTAGGAGAAACCAAAATAAATCAGGATCTTTTATTTCCCATAGGAAATTTACCTAGATCCCATTTATAGCCTATTTGCCCTCATCCTTATGTAACTCCTCTGCAGGAGAGGAGCAGAAAACGCAGAGAAAATAAACAATTTGCTGCGAAGAATTAGTGCAAGAGACTGAGTCACATCTAGCGATGCGAGCAGATAATCTGGGGCTCACCGAATACGCTGCGCAGAACAATGAACGCTGAGATCAACAGTGCATGTCATGCATGTACAAACTGGCCCCAGGTAACATGACTAAAGCGGAGCCACTGGTGTGCTTGAAAGAGATGCACAAAACCCACACTTTAGAGTTTATTTTATTATTGCTCTTAATGGCCTGCCCTTCCACATGTCTCATTTCCTTTTATTGAAGCTGTCAGAGAGGCATTACATTATCTCACATGCGTGCAAAAACAGCGTTTCAGTCGAGCTCATACAGACTTTTAAATGCCACAGCTGAAGAAAACAAGACAGTGGGAACTGCAAAGGGAGGAGGCGGCAGCGAAGTCCAGAGCACACACCTACGGGCAAAATTTCCAAAGGCTTCACAAAGCAGCCAAGCCGCAGCCTCTAACCAGAGACAGGTGAGTGAGGAAAGTAAAGGTACTTTTGTAATAAGCCGGATGATTCACTGAAGAAGGGCAAGGAGTCCTGTTGCAACAGAAGGCTGATGAGTAATTAATGGCTCGTCCTGGGCACAAGGCTGAGTCTTTTACCCCAGTGCAGAGCCGCCTGCCAAACCAGCTCTACCTACAGGCTCATGGGGCAGCTGCACTTGCAAAGCTATTCTGAAGGGTTGAAAAAAAGAACATTATGCCGATATTTGCACAGGGGTTTCCCAGTGCTGCCCAGTTCTCCTCAGTTCCTCATACTCACTGCAGCATGGTTTCCATCCTCGTTAGCACCCTGTGACAGGAGGAAATACAGCCCAACTTCAAAGAGAAAGAAACAGATCTAACCAAGCAGCCTGCGAGGGGGTGCACTACCTTCTCTTTTCTTCTTAGCGTGGCCCTGGCAGCAATCAATCGGGGTACCAGGAGGACTGCCTCTGCTGCACCCAGGGTCCCCGCAGACGGGGCTCAAGGCACCAAACTCTCTAGCCAGCCTTCTCATCCCATTCCCAAGATGTGAAAAACAGCGGTGGCAAAATCAACTACTAATGGTCAGAGACAGAGTATTTTTCTCATCCACAGAGGACAGTCTTTTACAGCTGACCTGCCTCCATGCAGCCAGCGTTTGGACAGTAGGAAATCACAATATTCTGGGGTTAAAAACAACCTCCTCTAGATTTTTTTTCCCCAACCAGATTTCTTTTTAGTGAGTCACTCGCATCCACATGCATGTCATGCACAGCAGGTATAAATCGCTACTGGCCAGGGTGCTATCAGAGAAGAGGCTAATAGGGTATTATGTACATAGACTGTGGTGGAGTCTGACCTTTATTTAAAAGCTGCACATCTCTCACTCATCCTGTGAAGCCCAGGGGAAGTACTTGGCTGCTCTGTACATATCATAATTGTGGCACAAAAGCAGTTAGCAATATACTATTTAAATAAGGAAGTAGTCACTGTGGTTGTGTTTCACAAATTTGTAGGGCTACTTTTCAAAGTCATTTTAACAATAATAAACATGTCTCAACTCCTATATGCTATGCACACACACAGTGCTGACCTAGTACCCAAACAGACCAGTGCACAGCCTTTCCCAGTGTACCTGCACACCGGTCCTGATGCACTGGTGGTCACAAACCCACCCAGGTCTGCTCACAGACATCATCTTACTACACACAGGCGTGCACACGCACAGAGAAAACCATCTGGCATGCACGCTAAATGACACACCTCACTGCCTACTGATGGCTACAGGCCACAGAGCCGTTTATTTAAAGTGTTACAAGAAAACATTCCCTAAATAACACCTAGGAACACGTCTACCCTCCCTGAGAAGCAAAGAGCCTATCTCAAACAAGACCCCATTGCCAGGGCCATTCTGCCACTTGGGAAAACAGAGAGGATTCCCCCTTCTAACACAAAGACAAAACGAAATCCTCTTTGCAAGGCAGCGCGCAGGCTGCTCACAGGCAGAACAGCTCCTCCCCATGATGGGACCACAGAGCTAAGGGAGCTGAAGCTGCTCTGATAACTAAACGTGGAAGCAGATCCCTACAGACTCCCAAACAGTGGCAAGATGACATCCCCGACCAGCCTGGGAGGTGCTGAGCTCACCAGCAATGCAGCACGCAGCTCAGGGCTACAGGGTATTAATTACAGTATGTGCCCGATATGCAATGCCAGGCTGGTGAAAGCTGCCTATTGACAAAGCTTGCTCAGAGGGTAGCACAGCAACCACAACTATAAATTATATTCTCCAGGGGTAGCAGGCGGTGGAAAAAGGAAGAAGTTCACAGTGAAACATTTCCTTTCCCTCAAAAGGAAATCAAGAGTGACACAGCCAGCACTGCTGGTCATGGCCCTGTTTCTGACAACCACAGGCCTTTGGAAAGCCCCAGAGCAGCCCCCCCCATTCTGCGAACAACCTCCCTCCACCACTGGCAGAAAGAAGAGTGTGTTTCACTAACCTCGAATCTAGGGGTGACAGAAGAGGGAAAGGCACAGGGGACATGCAGACACAACACATAGCCTTGCTGCCGCTTCTCCTGCACGGGACAAACTCTTCCCTGCCTGCGTGACCCACCAGTGCACTCCAGACACACAGGCGTTGCTGTGTGTTTTACTCTCACATGCTGCTGGAAGAAAGGCAAAGCTCTAGCTTTAGTTTGACTATAGTAAGTGAGGGAACTGCTCAAGGGGGCACCGGGATTGCTTGTTTTGCTCATCTTCGCAATAATTCTGTACAGCTTCTTGGCCACCTGGACCGCTTACTGAAAATCCTCAGCCCCTGTCTCCTTGCATGCAAGTCCTGGGAGGAGAGGATTTTGGAAACTGCCAAATGCAAGATGCAAACAGCCTGGGACTGAGAGTTCGGCAGCTCTTCAAATACTGCTCTTGCAGCTCCTGTGGTTACCTACTGCTGCTGGGAAAAAAAACCCACTGCAGAACACATTGATTCAGCCAGAGTCACACTGACACGGCTGGGACAGCCAGCAGTTTAGCCATTGCTTGTGAAGTACAGTGAGGGGGGATGTGCAAGCAGACAAGGAAGTGAAGGTGTCCCATGCTACCGCTTGCAGCAATGTCTCTTTGCCTAGTGTAGACAAGGCTTCAGGATCAACACTCCAGAGCAAATATTATCTCATTTACAATTTTCTTTCAGTCTTTTCATTGGGAAAGGTCTTCCCCTGTTCACCAGCAGGCATATGGGAACAGAGGGTACTGGCTCCACTCTGCCATGGTCCCGTGGGCATGTCCTGGAGCCCCCTGTGTATTGTACTCTGTGGAGAAGGCAGAGTAGCTCATTGCCCTGTACTGGCTGTGGGAAGGCACCATCCACTGGCCGAGGCCTTGCTCGGTGCCATAGGGACTGTACATGGGCGCTCGGGCCCCAGGTTTCCCGACAGAGTCTAGAGCCATGTTCACCACTCCTGTGTAGTCCTGAGGAGGAGGCAGAGGCGGGGGGAGCGGAGGCAAGTTGGCAAAGCCCTCTGGGAGCTGTTTGGAGTCGTGCTCGGGCACTGTGGCGAGATCCAAGGGGTGGCACCTTGCCCGAAAATCGTTCAAGGTCGCGGCATCACGGGTGGGAAGCTGCTGGCTGTCCCCGGCTTCATGGAACCTGAGCCCCAAGGGCAGAGAGAAGAGCAAGTCAAACCTACCGCAGCGGAAAACCACTGAAAACCCACACAGATCCCCTGGGGAAAGGCAGGGCAAGCTCTCAGCATGCCCTCTTCCCCTTGCCTACTGCTTCATCTTACTGTTAGTGTGGACTTTAGTCCAAGCTTCGCTGTCACTCACACAGAAAAACTAAGTGCCAGAGAAGGTAAACCCAGACTACTCTAGTTCTGGCTCAGTTCTAGTCTAGGCCCACTATAACTCATGCCTGAATTTGCAATGATAAGAAGGGAAAAACAAGTCACTGGAGTTCTGCCACTCCTCCAACGCACTTCCTTCAAAGGACAGGCAAGTTCTGCGGTACACAGAGCTGGCTGGGAGAGCATTTCAGGACAGGGAAATAAACAGCACTACTAAGACATGAGTATGCCCAGAATCAGTGGGTTTGAAGTAACACAGAAAGGCTTTGTTGTGGAGATATCTCCAGGCTAATCTAGCACCTATCACCCAGGTGTGCTGTCCAACAGCAAGGCATCCTTCCTCACTCCCACTGGCTGTTTTTCTTAGGAAATACCCAGTAGAAGAGGAGAAATCCCATCAGTCAAAGGCTTTGAATGAGCACCAGGAGACAGGACTCACCGATACGTCTGGTAGGACGGCGTAGGCACTTGCTGCTCTCTGGCCAGACCCTCCCTCTGCTCTGCTGGCAAGGGGTATCCGCTGCTGACCACGATGGGGTTACTCTCTTCCTTCACATCTGCATTCTCATCTTTCTCAAAATCTGACTCACAGTGGGGAAAAGAAAGAATGGAAAAAAATGAGAAGGGGAAAGAGAGAGCCAGAGCTCACAATGGTCCATTGACAGCTGGATTAATCGCAGGATGGTGGAAGGAAACACGCTAATACCTCTTCTGTAGTCATATTTCCTTAAGGGACTAGCCCTTTGCAGCTTTTTTCTGCCCTTACACTGTGGTGTTCGGTCCTGCCCTGCCCTCTCTCCTTAGTTGTACTACTGAAAGCAGCACCGTGAACTGGAGCAAGGAATGATCAAGCTTAAAAACAACTTAACAGAAAGAGTAAAGATTTTTTTTTTTTTTAACAGTATCAGTTCCCCCATCTGCATCACAACCCAGCTGCACAAAGAGCATTGCTGGCACAACTGCACCGCCGAGAACCAAGAAGCAAGCAACGGGTGATGCTGCAAGCTCGTATTACTACTGAAGAGAAAACATTATGAAAGCACAGCGTACGATCACAAAGTGTGGCTAGGCTGGGAGGCTGGTGAGAGAGCTGATGAGCAGTCAGTAATGACAAGCGACTTGCAAGCAGGCTCCTGTGGATCATTGCCAGAAAGAGTCAGAGACTCAAAGCCATCAGAGAGACAGCACCCTTTAGGGACTCCACCCAGGCCACTCTCCCCAGCCAGGAGACACAGCAGAGCTACGTCGCTGTTTCTTTTCCTTCCTGTGGCCCAGGCACTGTTTGGAAATCATTCTCTGTGTTTGTTGTGATCAATATTACCACGTTCCTCAGCACCGGACTCCTTTTCCTCAGGCAACTTTCTCTTCTGGCCCTTGGCTGGACTAGGCTTCTGGCATTTGGCTCGTCCTTCCCTGGGAAAGAAACAAGACATGGGGGTAGCTTGTATGTAAGCTTTTTGCCTAGATAAATATGCAAGGGATGCTGGACAACCCCTGGAAGATGGGCTCTCAGGGAATGTTCTTGCCATAGTGGAATTACAGGGTTAGCCACGCTGCCTGCCATCAGTGTATGCTTCCAGCAAGAGTCCTCACCCCACAGGATACTGGGGATAAATCGGTAAAGGGGTTGCCCACTTCATATTTGTACAAAAGGCACAATTAACATGGAAACCCAGCACTGGAGGTTTTGACACTGAGTTTCTAAGTATAGCCCAATGTTGGATATACATACTACACACACAGGTACATGTATAGTAGGGTGGGTCTTTTGCTTGAAATGCAGTTTTCTTCCTAAATGGAAAATGAGTCTAAGCTTAGTCAGAAATGATCCTATTAGGAGGAGAAAGAAAATCTATGACATTTTCAAAGTTTAAGAAAAAAGAGTCAGTTTTGCCCTTTTTCATCAGGAAATGAGATTTTTTTTCAGGCATAAAATAACTCAAAACAAAATCTCAGATATTTTCGTAACATTTTCTGCTTGGAAAAAAACATTTTTTCCTTCTCTATTGCCAATCTATGGTTGCATTTAAGCTTTTTTTTTTTAATCACCTCATCCACTGGCTGCCCTCAGACCAGGCAGAAGATCTCGCTGGTATTGGTATCCAGCTTCCCTCTTGCAGACAAAATCTCCTGTTGGAGGAGACGCTTTTCCACACACAGGGAATGAGGGAGCCTCCAAAGTCAGAATCTAGCTGATCTCAAAGAGACACAACGATCTACTGTGCATTCCTGTTATCACTGCTGTTCATGTCAGACTCCAGTCTAGCTCCAGCTTGCAAGTGAATGCAGGTCTTAAATTTGTCATACCACCCACATTTCTGTAGGAAATCCTGTATCTCCTCCCACTCTCCAGGTCTCTTGGGAGGAGGCTGCACAGGGGGACATCATTTCCAGATACAGTCAAATGCAGCGTGCACAATGCAGCAGGCTCTGCAGAGCTAGCTGGTACAGTTTTGCTCAACGGCCTTGGGTAAAATTCACAAGTGAACTCCAGATATAAATAAATTAAGATGAATAAACCAGTTTACCTTCGAGTGTTCTTCCCGTGCTCGCGGAAACCTTTAGCAAATGGATTGTTGTCAATCTTGAGCTTTGTAATCTTAAAATAAAAGGAACAAGATTCAATATAATGGTGACTGGTTAGGTTCTTTACTGTTTCAAGACCTTCATCTCAGTATTTATCACAACAGCTTGTCTGAGGGTTTTGGGCATGCCCTTGCCACAGTATCTCAGCTCTCCCAGCAGCTCCTGTTATTGATTAGGAACTGACAGACAGAGAGAAGTGACTTTGGCAGGGGCAGCAGGGATTGGGGTGGGATTCATCTGACTAGAGAAATATACAGGGTCAGTATCTATAGCTGGACTTTTGCCCATACTTTTTACTGCATTTAGGGTTCTGTTAATCACTGACAGCACACTTAATACAATTAAGGTGCGTGATTCATCTCATCCCAGATTAGATGTTTTCCATAGGAACCATAATGACCCTATTTCTTTCCACTGTCCACAGGCACCCAGGGTGACTAGCTTGAAAGGAGACACCTTCCTCTACAAGATTTCTAAAGACAGATTATTTAGCAATGTGTCCAAGGGCAGTACTTGCACGCTGTACCTGCTCATTCTGGTAGGCAGTAACAGAAGTGAAGACAGTCTCAGGGAAGCTGAAGACCTGGAAGATGCTCCAGCGGACACTGAAGAGGTCATCTGCCTGCACGATGTGGAAGCGAGGCTTGTAACGGTGCATGGAGTGGAGGATGATCTGGCACAGAGACAGACAAAGGAGAAAGTTTCTATGTTCAACCACTGCCAACACACTGCGCAAAGCCTCCTGTGGAGACTCCCAGGACATTCATTTCAAACCGGAGATGCCCATCTGGGACTGGTGTCTCCACGATGCCGCTAGACAGTACAGACTAAAGCCTTCTCTCACAGGTAGTTAAGAGAGCACTGGGCTGAGGAAGGGAGGGCACTTGGATATGTTTTAATTTCCACATGATCTAATTTCTTACAAATCTCGCTTATTTCCCTTAACATCCACCTGCAGCGAATTCCAAAAGAGCACAGCACAAAGGCCAGCTACAACGCTACAACCTACATGCCCGTGTTGATCCAAGACGTTGTTGGTGAGCTTCAGTTTCTGGAAGGAGACAGGCTCTTTCATCCAGTGGCTGCCAGGAGCTGGGGAATCTGGGTGGACGTAGGTGCGACAAGGGAGCTGGGGCTCTGCTTTTCCAGCAACTTCCCACTGATCTTTATTCCACTGTGAAGGGAAAGACAGAAATCTAGAGCTTAAAAAAAAAAAAAAAAAAGACTTTCATTATAGAAAACCCCAGCAACTTTGCTTCACTGTTGATTTAGTGGACTCCTCTGAAGCACAGTCCTGACAAGCAGCAGATTCTCTCTTATAAGCCTTGATCACGTTACCGAAACAGCTCCAAGTTTAGGCCTCATTTTTCCTCCTTTTCTCCCAGTAGCTGTCAGAGAAGTCTGATGTTAATCATGATTAAAACTGTACCGCTTACAATGAAAATTAGTTACCTTTCCAGCTGCTCCCCAAGCAAAACTGACAAGTAACTCCAGAGAGGCATAAAATCCACCAATCACTTCTGAACTTTGTCAAAAGACAATTTATTTATTGGCCTGGCCAGTGAAGCATAAAGATTAATCTACTTCAAATGAAGATGGAAGGACAGAATAACTTCTGTTATTTGAAGTACTTACCTTGTACCTGAAGTTGTCCATTGGCACGAAATCTACCAGCATGAGATACTTGGCATATGGGATTAAGCCGGAGACTTTGATTTTGCATTGTGGAAACATTCTCCTGAGGGAGAAATTAAATATACAGTATAAGGATTTCTCTATAAAGTGGATATTGTCCAACAATCAAGCAGGTCACATTTACTCACTGTTGTGCAAAGTTCTGGTAGCAGTATTTCTACAAGCCAGCTATTGAACATTTTTATCATTTTACTGACGTATTGTATAATCCTATGGGCTTAGGTGGAAAAGGCACTAACAGGGCAGCAGTCACTGATGGCCTGACACTGTTACTGCTTTTGTTCTTCTGATGCCTGTAACACAACAGTAGGAAACTTAAAATATTTGGAATTTGCACGTAGTTCCTAGCCTTCTGCAGCTATCGCAGACCTGGAGGATAGATTACAGCATTTTCTAGCGTGGGTAGAAAATGTGCTGTCATCTAAGAGCACATCTAGCTTTCCATTCCAGTACTCCCTGCCACCACTTTCATCTTCTGACTCTGCAAAAAAACTCTGACACCTACCTCCCTCCCCAAAAGGATTATTTCAGCTCACAGCAGCTTTGACATAATATATTACAATTGCACAATTTCATATTCTTTCACTGCAAGCTCCACAATGCATGATTCATTTAAACTTTAGAGTACTCTGCATGCACAGATTGTTACTATTCTATATTATGTTCTTGTCTGCAAATGCAGACTCAAAACCAGGTATTTACTGCTCAACTGCTGCTGCCTGTGACCGAGGCAAAGGAAGCCCAGGGCACTTTCCAGAGCAACCTCGCAGGAAGAACATCAGTGTTAAGTGCTGAGATAAGAGCACAGACATTTTCTCAGCACATCAGCCCCACAGTGACCTTTTGCACTTCACAGCTTGGACTTCTATGACATCCTGAAAGTGCAATTCTTCTGCCAGGGGCAGGGAGATGTTCGTAATTGGCTACAAAACTAGTTTAGGGGCCACCATTCAAAAAATGAGCGCTCGGAGATTTTGTTAACAACTTGGAGAGGTGTGGTGTGGGCAGCTGTCCTGCACCCCTCACCTGCCGGATTTGGTGATGATCATCTCAGTTCCTATCTGATGAAACTTCATCCAGAGGCCCATGTCCTCGAGGGTGACCACAATGGAACTCTGCGGGTAGGGCTCCAGGCTGGGGGAAGGAAGTGCCTCACACGGCGCTTTCACGTCTACCGGGAGAGAGAAAACGGTGATTTCAGTTGGGCAGGAGGGCAGCCGGCGTGAAGCAGCCCCTCCTGCTCAGAGACAGCACCCCGAGATGCAGCACCCACATCGGCCCTCCCAGTGCCCTCCAGTGCCAGCTCCCTCCAGTACAAGGAGCTACCAAACTTTGCACGCTGTTGTAAACAGATGGATTGCGTACATCTGGCCATTCCCTCCTCCCGTCTCACCACGGTGCCTCTCAGCCCCAAACCACTGCACAGTGCACAGCGCTGCTTCAGCTCAGGGAGCTGAACGCCGTGATTTCACCCATGAAGGTCCCAGGTGCTGCTGAGAAGTAGGAAGTCTGTGCTACAATAAACCTCTTAAAGAAAGTCCATTATTTTTCTTCAAAGTCTTTTTGTTACTTAGTAGGCTCAGAAGGCATAAAGGCTTTTCCAATAGGTTTCGGTTTAGCTGATAAGTTCTTTTGTAAAGATTTGTGTGTTGTAAAAACTCAACCTGACATCTTTTATTCCAAAACTCAGACTGATCAGGGTTATACAAAATACTTTGCCAAGAGCATAAAATGAAAGCTGAAAGGATTGGAAAGATTTTAAGTGTATCAGTGGGTAATGGGAGAAAACGGGAGAAAACGACAGATAGGTGGTAGCAGAGGTGAAAAATCTCTCCAGAGGACAAAGAAGGGACAGAGGGAAGACCCAAATGTAAGTGAAGGCAAGAAAGGGAGGTGACAGGGCCAGACCGTGGAATATTCTGAAAAGAGGATAGCTGGTCTGAACTGGACTTGGGAGGTGCAGACCACTGAGGAGCCTGTGATGGCAGTGGATGGTGCCCCTTCGGACATGAACAGACCATGGCACATCAGAGGAGCTGCCTGCAATGTGCCTGCACTTTCTATTACAGGCAGAGGACCAACGACAGTCCCATAGAAGAGGAAAGGGGAACTATTGGAGAAACTGCCTTTGGTGTTTATGGCATCCACCTCCTCTGTAAACCTGTTTGGATTAAAACCTCCTATAGAAGCTCTTAATTATATCGTAACACATACAAGATTGCCACTGCCATACTGAAAAGCCCAGGCAAAAAAAAACCCCAACAGTTCCATTTTAGGTCAAAACTTGACCTGGTATAGCTACTGGTGGGCTGATTTCATAGACAGTAAGGCTTTGCGAGCACTGCCCTGTGGTATGAACAAGGTATTGATAAGCCCGCTCGAGCTGGGGGGCACTCGCAGCAGCACAGCAGCCCTCACTTTGGTGCTGGCAGCCACTTCTGCATTATCAGCCACGCATGGCTATTTGTTTAAAAGGGAGATTTTTCTGCCTCTCAGCCTGATCAGATCTTATTCAGAGCACATCAAGAAATAAGGGAATTTTCACCTTGTTACAGCTTTCCCGAGTAATGCCTTCAAAAGAATAAGCACGAAAAGTAGACAACTACTTCCAAAGAAATTAGCTTTTTTCAGAAAGTGACATCTTTCCACAAAAACAACCCAATGCGAGTCTGGGGGGTTCTTCCCACAGTATTAGGAAACAAAAAACATTTAAATGTAATTTTGTCAGTTTGTAAAGGTCTTTAGGCATTTAAAAAAAATATCCTCTACCCTTTTTTCTGCTTTGATCCAACATTAATGAACTGGCTAAGAAGTGACACCTAGTTTGCTCACTAAGATTAGCCTGTTAACATCTTCTTACTAAAGCTTCCCCCATATCCTCTTGCAAAGACATGAAAGCTGCCATGAGACGATGCATTCGGTAGCTCAGTGCAGCACATGTATCAAAAGGAGTTACAATAAAATTGGGCTGATTTCCCACAGGAGCCATCCAGTCACAAATACATGCAAACAGATTTTGATTAGCTAGACAGATGCTCACTCCTTCCCCAAATGAATTTTACAATTAACATTTTTGTAAGCAAATTCCAATGCCATTAAATGAGACTACAACAAGGCAGATCTCAGGAGTCCTTACTGAGGGGAGACTTCCAATGAAATCAAGAGGCATTTAAGTGAAGGGAGTTCAATACTGAATTAAAAATCAAAGGCAGATGTTATAACCTGTTTTTCACCAAAAAGAGTCCGCAACGCACCTGTATGAGCGAGATGCTATAGGAGGCAGGGAGAGAGAGCTGCACATACAGTAAACATTGCAGCAAAGATTTTAAAATGTAGTTCATGACTTTCACCCTGCAGGTTTTGTGTGTACAGTCTGAAGCTGAGAAACAGGACATTCACAGTTTGCATGGGGATCCGGACCCCAGCAATGGTGTGAGCTTGCTAATGGATCCACAC